TTTCTTTTATCTCTGTCCCCCAAAGCCTAGCACAGTGCTTGCTGTGTGATAAGTGCTACAATGGAATGTGCTTGAAGAAATACATGATCAATGGATGAAAGAATGAATGAATAGACTTTTTCATTTGAACAAATTGTATCTAAGGCTCTGGGGGCTCACTCAGGAAGCTGAGGTTCCTACCGATGATACACTGAGTTTTGAGGGTCAGGCCCCCTGAGAGGCTAACGCTGAGATGGAGGTGGACCTGCAGCAAGTTTAGAGATGAACACTGGTGGGGGAAACAAAGGAAGGAGGAGGGAGCAGAGGGAGAAGTTGGTGTGTCCTGCAGTCACAGAGATTCAACCACTCCTTCCAGGAGTCCTCCACCTGTGATGATCCTGCACACCTGTGCCTAGGTGTGTCAGGCGCTCAAGCCTCTACACGCCCACACAGACCAGCCATTGGATGTCAGGGACATAATACACTCCCAATAAGTGCTTACTGAACCAAGAAATCCTAAAGAGAAGCTACAGTGAATAGCTCATCAATTTCAGAAATTCTCTATATGGGGAATGTTGAAGGACTTGCTAAGTAAGCCAGGACTAGTTCCCTGGCTCCCGTCTACCCTGTTAAATGCCAATCGGAAGCAGCGTGTTATGTCACAGCCCTAGTGGTTTACATCTCACATGAGGATCAGACTGCCAAAGGCAGCTGAGATCCTTTGACACTCCCTCTGGTACACTCCCGCAGCTCCAGTCCCCAGTCTCACTTTTAAAAGGTAACGGATGCTTTGTCCAGCATCTGGCTTCTCCTACGTGCCTTTTGTCATTCTGTCACCAGACCCTGATCGGGGGAAGAGCCACTCAGCAGGAAAATTCACAGCATCATAAATTCATAATCCATTTTTCTCCATATGCTCCGACCAACTTGTGATGTTCATAATTAAAACTTTATGCAGACTTACAGCTACTGAGACAGGTTGATTCAGTGCTGGCTGTAGAGCATCGTAAATCACTGTGGCTTACTGTATAATTGGGCCCCAATAATTATTCCATCAACGTTAAGCAGAGCTGGCACTGGGGGAAAAAATGTGAGGCAGACTCACTCTTCTTTCAGGACTGCTTCATCTGCTTCATTGTTACGTGATGCCCTTTCACTATCAGCCCTTGCCCTACTGCTGTTACTTCATTTTTGCCTCCGGGTTCCCAGTCTTCCTTAGTAAGAAAATTTCCCCCACGTTTGTTCCAGGCTGCATTAAACTACACTTCTACCAAGAAACCATCTCACATCTTCCTGTCTCCCAGTAACCTGGTGTGTGGTACCAGCACTGGTCAGGCTGAGGTTTTCTCTATATCACCTCATGGTGCACTCTGCGGATGGCCTCTGGGCGTCACTTGCCTTGAATACTTGCTTTTCTTTAATTGCCGAAACGGTCTCTTTCCTGTTTTCTCAGACTACATTAGAGACAGCTTGATGTATTGGACAATACACATGATCCGGGGCTGAATACTACGGTAAAGTAAAAACTCTTGCCCCGCATTCCAGCTCTGCAAGGCTTAAGTGGCAACCCCCATGCAGCTGCCCACTAATGATGTGCCCTGAGGGGAATGCAGGATGGAGAAAGACAGGAATCATGCTGTGCTTTGGATACACGGGCCCCTAGACAGGTAAGATGCATATCTAAGGAAAATTTGCAATAACCTCAGATTCTTGCATTTTCCCACATATAGAAAAGCACTAACCATTTTAGTGTGAGATGTCTGCTCTTTGTGATTTGCAATAATCTCTTCATGCTTGACTACATGCTTTTCCCAGCCAAAAAAAAAAAAAAATCATATTTATCTGGCATCTCCCCTGTATCCTTGTAGGAGTTCCTCAGAGCTCTCTGAGAGTCTCATCTCTGGGCTGCAATTTTCAGGAAGGTTCCTGCATAAAATGCATAAAACTGAAACTCTCTGCTTTTAACCTTGTGCATTTTTTGTTGGTGGTGGTGGTTTTTCAGTTGACACCATGTAGCTCTGTCACTCATTAGCTGTGCAATTCTGAGTTTTATTTAAAATCCCAATCACAGTGTTTTTAGCTACCCAATGGAGATTATGCAAATACGATAGATCTTTGTCTTGGCTTTTAGCTTTGTGAATTTGCACAAGTAATTTAAATTCCCTGAATCTCCTTTTTCCTTAGCTATCAAAGGGAGGAAATAAGAAAGTCTTTGTGTCTTCCTAGTGAGGATTCAAATGAAGTAATACGTGTAAAGTTCTTGTCATTGAATATGGGTTCAGTAAATATATTTTCTTTTTCCCTCTACCTATTAAAATTTTAGTGACCAATAGTCTTTTTTTTTTTTTTAGGTTAATTTAAGTGTGACTGATAGTGGAGATTTCATGGCCCTGAAAAGTTCAAGAGGTGGAAAGTACTTTAATACTTTTGGGACTTTAACTTGCCTCCCAATTCTCTTAGTACAGAATAATGTTTATTGAAACATCAAAGCAAAATATTGTGAGTTTTAAAATCCATCAAAGCACCAGAGAACTGATATCTTGCAGCTTTGTGGTTAGATAATTTGTATCTCACTTGAATGGGCTGTTTTTCAGTAAATGCAGATGGGGTAAGTGGAGAGAGCATTTGAAACATCAAGGAGACAGCCTCTGTGCCCTCTTCCTTGTAACATTTAGACCCTGACTTCCACCAGCGCTCTGTAGGTGGTATGCAAATCATCTGTCTTGTTAGAAATCAGAGTGAAAGCTATGTATATGTCTTCCATTTTAATATTTTAATATATATTTTTTACTGTTGACTGTGTAAAGCACATCTTTGCACAGATAATGCCAGAAAGCTTTTAGAATTTGAGTGTGTAACTTCTGTCTGGCCAGACAGAAAATCGTACCCCGAGGGGAAAATCACGAGGGCCCAGCAAATGCATCAAAATGCTCCAGATTGAAGCTGGAGGGACTGGCATTAGTCCTTACAGATGAGACCACAAATGTCCCCACCCAGCTCTTCCGAATAAGTGACCCCACTGGGCTTGGGAGCCAAAGACCTGCTAGGTAATACTGCATGTTGACGGACCTGCAGAGTTCTCTGATCCACTTTACAAGCACCTGAAATGTAGGCGGCTGCTCAAGGATTAGGGGACTTAAAGTGCTAACACATTTTATAAAGCCAAGTTCCAAGACCAGATAACATGAAATGTCAGGGCTTTTGAGTTATCGCCTGTTTTTATTTATCTATGTCTCATGGCTCTATTATTGCAGAACTTTCATCCCTAAGTGATTCAGTGATCTGCTTTGATTCAGTTAGAACTGACCAGGTGCCAGCATGTTCAGGGAGCAGTACTAGCCACTCTGTTGAAGAGGGAAGTGAAAAAATCCCAGATGATGAAGACGTGCCCACATATGTAAGAGCTGTAACAGCTACTGGAGGGTGCATCTAAATAATACCGTAACACAGCTCAGCAAAGGCTATGGAAGTGTAGAATAAAATAGACTAAAACTGGGTGAATTGAGGAAAAAGCAGACAGGATTTTGACAGGTAGAGAGAGTTGAGAAAGCTGTATCAAGGCAGCTTTATGCTTTACGTCTCACCAGATACGTGGCTCTTTTCCCCAAATAATTATTTTCTCTTCGTCACTACTATGTTGTGTAATTGCTTTCATTGTTATGTTCTTTCTTTTTTTAACACTATTTATTTTTAGTTTTCTTTGGTAATTGGGTTTGATTTTATTTAATTATTATTATTTTTTAATGGAGGTTCTGGGGATTGAACCCAGGACCTCATGCATGATAAGCATGTGCTCTACCCCTGAGCTGTACCCTCCCCCCATTGTTACTTTCTTTTTATCACAAAGCACAGCTACAATGCTATGTGAAGTATACTAGCTAAGCATTAGACTTCCCCAAAACAAAATTTTCTTTTAACTCAAAATGAGTAGTGAAAAGATAATAGGCAATTCCATCCAAATTGCTCATTATGCATACTTAATCTGTGATGACAAATAACTCCAAAAAAATTACTCTCCATCCCACTTCAAATAGTTACATAACTGTGATTGGCACACTATTTCTTCTCCCCTCACAATTACCTCATTAAATCTTTCCTCAACTTCAGTTAATTGATTTAATAATCTCCCTGGTTTCGCAAATCAGATTCTTTCACATTTAAATTACCTGGGATAAATTAGGAGTTTGGGATTAACAGATACACACTACTATGTATTAAGTAGATAAACAACAAGGACCTACTGTAGAGCACAGGGGACTATATTCAATTTCTTATGATAAACTGTAATGGAAAAGAATCTGAAAATACATGTGTTTTTGTGTGTATATATATATATATATATATAATGTATATATGTATAACTGACTCACTTTGCTGTACACCTGAAACTAACATTGTAAATCAACTATACTTCAATAAAAAATAAAATTTAAAAAATAAATTACCTGCACAACAAAATTATATATGAAACTTTGAGTGTTATAAAAATAACTCATTGGATCTTTAAGTTGCCATTAATATAGTATATGCATTTTGGATATGAATTTGAGTGTCATTAGCACAATGCTTGCATTCAATTGATATTGGATTCTTTGATGTATGGTCAGATGGATGCCACAGAGACAAACATTTGCTTCATTGGATGCATATAAATGGGCCCTATAGAAATGTGACTGGTGTTACAGCTAAAATAAGGTTTTGAATAATTATAATGGACATCATTTATTAAATATTTGCTGGGTGTTATTACATACCTTTATACTCTTTATAATAGCTTGCTTGGTCATTTTTCTTATGGTACACATGAAGACTCAGAGTCTAAGAGAAATTAGGACTCTTGCACAATGGCACAAATAAAGAACATAAGTGACAAGAGTGAAAATTCAAAGCCCGAACTATGAATAAAACTCTACGTTGTTTCTTTTTTTCCACTATATAACTGTGGTAGGCAAAAAAAATGGCCCCCCAAAGATGTTCATATCCTAATTCCTGAAACCTGTGAGTGTATTACGTGACAAGGTTTCAGATGGAACCAAGATTGCTAATCTTCTGATACTGAAATAAAGAGATTATCTTGGACAATTTGGGTGACCCAATGTAATCACCAGGGTCCTTAATGGGAGTGAGGGAAGCAGAAGAATTAGGGAGAAGGAATTATGGGAAAGACTCAACTAATCATTACTGGCTTTGAATATGGAAGAACCAAGAAATGTGTGCCAACTCTGGGACTTGGAAAAGGCAAGAAAGTGCGTTCTCTCTCAGAGCCGTCAGAAAGGAAGGCAGCCCTGCCATCATCTCAATTTCAGCCCAGCGAGACCCATTTCTGATTTTTGACCACCAGAACTTTAAAATATGAAATATGTGTTAAGTCACAAAGTTTATGGTAATTTTTTACAGCAGTAAGGCAAACTAATACAATCACTTTGCTTCTACAATGGTGCAAGGGACGATCTTCCATACCTGATTGATAGCAAGCCACCATGTGTGGGGGCACGAAGTTGAAGGTACGTAGAGGAAATCCATCTAAATGAAGATGGCAGGCTTACTGGGAGGAAAGAGCAAACAGTAAGTCCAGAGATGAAAGATGCAGTTACGAGTTGAATTCCAGGAGCCTTAATCATATTAAGTGTTGACAATTATTAGCTTAATGGATAAATAAAATGATAAATGGATGAAAATCCTGCAGATAAATCCCAATTTATATTTCATCAACCTTACAGAAACATAATTGCTCCTTTAAAAGGTGAAGATGGTACCTCATTGTTTTCATATGAATTTCTTTGATTGCTAAGTTGAAAGTCTTACATATGATTATCAGCTATCTGTATATTTTCTTTTGTGAACTATCATTTGATTACCAGGAAATTAAGGTCTTGATTTAATTTCAGTTTTGTAAGCTCTTTAGAAAGTATAGTTAATTAACCTCGTATTGGGAATGAATTTCTTTGCAAATGTAATTTTCCAGTTTGCTGATTATCTTTGACATATGTTTATAATACCTTTGAAGTACAGACCTATTAAATATTTTTCAATCAAATCTGCTGGGTTTTCACCTTTGCGACTTCATTCATTATTAACTTTAATCCTTCTGGAATTTGTTTTAGAATAATATACAAAGACAACATTTATTATTTTTTTAAATAATTGACTTAATTGTTATAGTAGCATTTGTTAAATAATCTTCTTTCTTGACAGTTTTTATGATACTTCGTTTAACATACATCATTACTGTTGATCTATTGTTAGGTTTTTTTTTCTTATTAAGCTATTTGCTTTAGTTCATGGCTCTGTTTCTTTGTTCTGTGTCATCATTGTACCACGCTGAAAATTATTACAGTTTTATATCATGTTTTCATATCATTTATGAATCCACAAGTCCTACCATATTAATCTTGCTTTAAACATATCATTTTAGTTTTAATCTCAATCTTCCATATAAACATGAGACTTTTTGTGTTTCTCTGTAATACTTTATTGAGGTTAGTTTAAAAGTATATGGGGACTTTTGAAGATTTGTGATAATTACAACATTGCTCTTTGGCTCAAGGAGTCTGATATGATTTTCTCCTTATTTAAGTTTTTTTTGGCTCTTGTTACATATGTGTAATTAATATTTGCCCTTCACAATTACTTATTAAGCAGTTTAATTAAAGTTAGAGTATTCCAATTTAAGAATAATTTGAGAATTTTTTATTAGGTCTTCAAATTAGTTACTGCCGTATGTATAAAATTAACTTTTATATATTTATCTAAATAGGTCACTTTGTTGAGGTAAGTTATTAGCTGTAATCACTCTTAATGATGACAGTCTTGGATAGTTTACATCTAAGAGGAAAAATTGCTTTGTCTTTTTCAAAAACATACCTATTATTTCTTTTTCATGTTTTAATTCAGTGACTCATGTTTTAATCTCTTCTGTTTCACTATAAAATAAGGAAAATAATAGCTATCTTTTATTACTGAGTTTGAATGCTTTATTATCGAACACTTTATTGTTGCATTATCAGATTTATTGTTGACTGTTAGTTAAAAGTACTATTTTTGGATGGATAGAAGTGATTCTTCTATCACCATTTTAATTTGTTAGGTGATTACTGTCATGGATAGATATTGACATTTTCTTAAATTTCATGTCTAGCAACTATCTGGTAACTATCATTTATCTCTCGATGTGGTATTTAATTAAATCCTATTCTAGATTCCTTGATCACTGCTTTATTAATCACAGTCTTATGAACATAGCTTATTTGCTTCTCACTGATGTAAGGTCTTCATTAGAAGCTTTCATTGTTGCTTTCTAGGTCTGAATGGCTGATCCAGCTTTCCTGAATGAACCCCATATTCTTTCACTTTTCAAATGATTTTATCTACTACCAACTGTTTGTGCATCCCTCGTAATTTTTTCCATACTTTAAAGATATGTTTTTTCTGATGTAGACCTAGAAGGTTTCCTGTACTATTTCACAAACAAAAATGCCATGGCAGCAAATTCTGCTACTGACACAGAAGGAGGAAAAAGAATTGAGGGAAAGAAAGAAAGTGGAGAAAAAGTGGTAGGAAAGGAGTCATGGAGGGCAGCACAGTGCTAGAGATGGGAAGCAAGGGCTAAAAAGTAGGATTCAGAAGCAGGAGGATAGAGGGGAGGATATAGCTCAAGTGGTACAGCATATGGTTAGCATGCATCAGGTCCTGGGTTCAATGCCCCCTACTTCCTCCAAAAATAAATAAACCTAATTACCTCCCCCTACCAAAAAACAAAACAAAACAGAAGCGGGAGGATGAATGTATCTTTATAATATTCAATCCTCTCAGTAATTGTAAGGAAACACAGGCTTAGTGAGGCTTAAAACTATCCGTGTAGACTGTATCTTAAATAAGCTCTACCAATTGGATGCAAATAAAAAATGATTTTTGCTGCCTGGACTCTTTTCAACAGCTCAGTGAGGCTGGTGTTTTCCCTGTCCCATGAGATGAATATTCAGGAATCTAGTGGGGTTTTTTTTTTTATTGCTTTCAGGAAATACAAAATTCTAGGATCACTTTAAATCATAAAACACAATTTCTGGTTTCAAATTGGAATGTCCCATCCCCTTGGATCATTAACAGTTTCCTCCCAATAGGACCTCAGGCAATGGGAATAAACACCCAGAGGTGGGTGGGCAGCCAGCATCTCATTTTTATAGCTCAAGCCCTCCCTTACCTGTGACCTGTTAGTTTTGCCCTCCCTGTGACTGGCAGATGTTTAAAGCTGACTCTTTCTAGTTTGGGTACTTTATTATTGTTGTTGTTGTTGTTGTTATTATTATCATTATTATTATTATTACTATTATTATATAGTCAGTTACAATGTGTCAATTTCTGGTGTACGGCACAATGTCCCAGTCATGTATATATATGTGTGTGTGTGTGTATATATTTGTTTCATATTCTTTTTAATTAAAGGTTAGTACAAGATACTGAATATAGTTCCCTGTGTTCTACAGAAGAAATTTGTTTTTATCTATTTTTATATATAGTGGTTAACATTTGCAAATCTCAAATTCCCAAATTTATCCCTTCCCACTCTCTTTCCTTGGTAACCATAAGATTGTTTACTGTGTCTGTGAGTCTGTTTCTTTTGTAGATGAGTTCAGTAGTGTTCTCTTTTTTTCTTCTTTTCTTTTCCTTTTTTTCTTTTTAGATTCCATGTATAAGTGAAATCATACAATATTTTTCTTTCTCTTTCTGGCTTACTTCATTTAGGATGATGATCTCCAGGTCCCTCCATGTTGCTGCAAATGGCTTTATTTTATCCTTTTTTTTTTTAAATAATTGAGT